ACTGTAACGCTCGATGTGGGATTATTCCGGGGATATAGATGGCGCGGCCTGATTCTCGGAAGAATGTGCAGTTTCGGGAAAAATTGATGCATTAATCATGGGTTTGTTAGATACAAAATATGTGGGAAATGTAAAACAGGTTGTTTTAACATTTAGAGTTTGATACGATTTAAATTGGCGTTTGGAAACTTGTTAAATTGTTGCTCACTGATCTGTTAATCTCTTTTCTTTGTTTTTGAAAATATTGTAAATAATATATTAAGTTTATTAATAAATAATTATTTGATTTACAAAATTTTAAATATATGCATTTTCTTGTGCAATTGAATTAAATATTTTGATTATTAAGAGATTTATATAAATATATATCACTAGCTTTATATTTTGCACATTTTTTAATTTTGTTCATTATTATAAAGATACTAGAATATTTATATAATAATAATCATTGCCTTTTAATTTTTAATTTATTCAAGTTTTTTTAGTATTATAGTAAATTTCATAATTAAATATACACATAAAATATTAATCTTTCTAACCTCAAATTTTCAGCAATGCAAATCTTTTAGCAATGAAATAATTCCAAAAACTTCCGCTGCGATTAATAATCCATGAATTTCACACACTGATCCAACTGCAATACTATCTCAAACTCGTTCTATTCTCGATAATAAACGAACATTAAACCTCATTCAATATCCATTCATATTTCTCTACACTTAACTCTACGATTAACCTGGAATATGATCACCGGAAACTTGGGAGGGCGCGCGTTCCACGGAAGCCCGCGTTTCCCCATTGGTCGGAGAAAACTTCGATAAGAATACCATGGTGAATTTGCACAAAAAATTACAGTCGCAATACCGGTTCGCCGCGAATGGTCTTTAGCGGATGGCCGGCCGTGTAGAAATTAAATAAGGCGCGACCGCAGGAAACGTAAACACCGGTGCCTAAAAATTCTTTCCTCGCGGAATAAATCGCGAAACGGGCTGGCATAAACAGGATCTCACGCCGTCGGCCGGTGTGCGCGCTCACACCC